GCCGGGGACCCATAGAGCCATCCTTACCCGCAGGACCGCCTGCTGCAGCAGTACCACCAGAAGCAGAAGCAGCAGCAGCAGCTGCTGCTGCTGCTATTGCTGCAGAGACAGAAGCAGCACGCGTAGGGGCCCCCGAACGCATCGTAGGCGGCTGCCGCACACGAGGGGAGCCGCGGGGGCCCCCTTGTACACTTCGCTCAGCATTGCTGTTGTTGCTGCTGCTGCTGCCGCTGCTGCCGCCGCCACTGCTGCTGCTGCTGCTGCTGCTGCTGTTGCTGCTGCTGCTGGGGCGAGACCCACGGGGGCCCATGGGCACGGCCTGAGCTTCAAACGGGGGGCCCCCCAAGGGAGTAGCAGCAGGAAGAGGTGCTGCAGCTGCAGCACAGCGAAAGACAGCGCATGCACACACAGAAGGTAACAGCAAAAAGAGCTGCTGCTGCTGCCGCTGCTGTTGCTGCCGCTGCTGCTCCTCCTTCTAAAGTGCTTCAAGGCGTACCTGCAGATTGCGCCAAAGGCCGCATGTAGACCTGCTGCTGCGGCGTTAGTTGCTGTTGCGGCAGCTGCTGCTGCTGCTGCTGCTGCTGCGGACCTACTATACACTGCTGCTGCTGCGGCTGCACACCCACACGAAGGCCGCCAATATACTGCTGCGGTTGCTGTAGTTGCTGCTGCTTCATCTGCTGCTGCAGGTGCTGCTGTTGCGCGGCATGCAGTCGTTGCTGTTGCAGGAGCTGCTGCTGCTGCTGCATTTGCTGCTGCTGCTGAGAGAGCAGCAGCTGCCCTTGTGGGGCGTGCATCGGTGTCTGCTGAAGTTGCTGCTGTTGCAAAAGCTGCTGCTGCATGTGCTGCTGCTGCAGTTGCTGCTGCTGTAGTTGCTGTTGCTGCAGCTGTTGTTGCTGCAGCTGCTGTTGCTGCACCTGTTGCTGCTGCATCTGCTGCTGCGGATGGGAACCAAGCAGCTGCTGCGGCGCATGCTGCAGTTGATGCCGCGGCATTTGCTGCTGTTGCATGTGCTGTTGCTGCAGCTGCTGCGAAGCGTGTTGCAGCTGGTGTCTCTGCAGCTGCTGCTGCTGCAGCTGCTGCAGCTGCTGGAATTGCTGTTGCTGCTGCGCATTATGTACCGGCTGCTGCAGCAAGTGTTGCTGTTGTAGCGGCTGCTGCTGTCCTGGCGGTTTTGGCAGCGGCTGCTGGTGAAGTTGCTGCTGCTGCAGTTGTTGCTGCTGCAGCTGCTGCTGCTGCAGCTGCTGCAGCTGCTGCTGCTGCTGAGGCTGCAGTTGCTGCTGCTGCGGAGGCAGCAGCGGAACGCCGTTCTTCTCGTCTCCAGTTAGCATAGGTCAGTATGCCTTAGCAGCAGCTGCTGCTGCGATGCCTGTTGCTGCTGCAGCGGAGCTGCTGTTGCAGTGGTTGTTGTTGCTGCTGGTGCGCAGCTGCTGCCGCCCCTGTTGCTGCTGCGGCTGCTGTTATTGACACAACAACTTCGACGGCAGCTGCTAGTACAGCTTAGCTAAGATGAGCGTCCTGTTCTCGCAACCAGCAGCAGCAGCAGCAGCAGCAGCAGCAGCGGCAGCAGCGGCAGCAGCGGGTTTCCAGCAGTTGCTGCCTAGTGGAGCTGGTTATTCTTGAAGCAAATAATATTGTTGTAGAGGACAGCTGTCTGTGGAGTGCCTTTGAGCTATAAATTTCTACGCGCTGCTGCTGCTGCTGCTGCCATTGCTGCTGCTGCTGCTGCTGTTTGGGGCTGGCAGCAGCAGCAGACTGCTCGCTGTCTTCTTCCCTTTAGATGAATTCAATATATATTTTAAAATGTCTTTTGTTTCTGCTGCAGCAGGCAAGAGATGCCCAGCACTAACAACAGCAGCAGCTGTGTGCAGAGCTTCTCGTCATAGAAGCAGCAGCAACAGCAGCAAACAGCAGCAACAGCAGCAACAGCAGCAACAGCAGCAGCAGGACAAGCATCAGCTAACAAGATCCTAGCGTGCTGCAGCATAGGCAGGCAGAGATGCGGCAATGACAACAACAACAATAGCAGCAGCAGCAGCACCAGCAGCAGCAGCACCAGCAGCAGCTCTACTAGCTTCGCGTAGAGGCTCCCGCTGCGCTCTATAAAAAGCAGTTGCAGCAGCAGCAGCAGCAAGAGAAATTCGCCGGCAGCAACTCCAGTAGGAAGTAAGGGCGCTTTCCAGCTGTTGTTGCTGCCGCTGTGTCCTGCTGCTGCTGCTGCTGCTGTTGCTGCGGTTCCCACAGCAACAGGGGCAGCAGCAGCCGCAGCAGCAACAACAGAAAGAGAAGGAAGCGGAGCAGCAACAACAACACCACGGGATGCAGAAGCAGCAGCAACAGCAACAGCAACAGCAACAGCAGCAACGAGAGCAGCAGCACGACCACGACCACCAATAGCACCACCAGCAGCACCACCAGCAGCAGCGCCAGCAGCAGCAGCAGCAGCAGCAGCAGGATGAGCATTGCGCGTGTGTCTGGTGTGTTGACAACACATTATCTGTTTGAACCGTATACAAGTCTGCAGCACTATAAAAGAGCATTAAAGTTTTTGCTGCAGATAAAGAAGGAAGGAGGCGCTGTATTAATAATAGGACAGAAAAACCAGACGGATTTGCTGCTGCATCAGCACTTCCCTGCTGCTGTTTTTGCTCCTGCTGCTCCTGGTGCTGGTGCTGCTGCTGCTGCTGCTGCTGCTGCTGCTGCTGCTGCTGCGGGGCCCCACACTCTGCAGCTGCTAGCAGCAGCAGCAACACATTACAGTGCAATACTATGCCAAGATTGTGTTGCCTTTGCTCCTTATCTGACGAATATTCACCTTCCTATTTTAGGTGTATGTACACCTCGTCAGGTGTATCAGTCCCCTGAGATATTAAAAGTAATTGATTATTTAATCCCTACAAACTTAAACAGGACAGATGCAGCAATAAGAAAATTGCTGCAAACTAAGATATTAGGCCCCCCTCAAACCCCCAACAGCAGCAACACCAGCACCAGCAGCAGCAGCAGGGAAAGGGGCGGCAGCAGCAGCAGCAGCAGCAGCAGCAGCAGCAGCAGCAGCGATGCAGGAAAGAACGAGGAAGAGGGAATAGCGGAAGCAGAGCTGCAACACCAGCAGCAACTGCAGCAGCAGCAACTGCACCAGCAGCAGCAGCAGCAGCGTCAGTGGATGTACACACACCCGCATGGCCAGCAGCAGCACACCTACCCATATGAGTGGCAGCAACACCAGCAGCAGCAGCAGCAGCAGCAGCGCTTTGCATACTATCCGCAGCAACAACAGCAGCAGCTGCACGTGGCTGGCATAGAGCAGCAACAGCAACTGTGGCAGCAGCAGCAGCAGTACCTCCACCAATTCTATCAGCAGCAGCACAAACATTACCTGCAGCAGCAGCAGCAGGAACAGCAGCAGCAGCAGCGGCAGCAGCAGGTGCTGCAGCGACGGCGTTTCAGCCGCAACTTTTAATTTATTTCAACTGAAATTCTTTTTGGTGTTTTATTTATTTATTTTTATTTATTTTATTTTATTTTATTGTTTTATTGTATTTGTTCGCTTGACAAAGAACAGCTACAAAACCAGCAGCACCTACTTCTCATATCTTCGCTTTCACCTATACCCTCAAATCATACAATTAGTAGACGCCCCACAGGGGGCCCCCAGGGGCCCTAGGGGCCCCCAATTCCTTACTCAGGCCCCAGGGGGCCCCTAGAAGTCCCTGAGGCCTTCAGAAGCTTAATAAACCCCAGGGGCCCCCAGAAGGGGCCCCCAGAAAGGGCCTCCATAAAGGGCCCCCAAAGGGGCCCCCACAAGGGGCCCCCACAAGGAACCCCAGAAGGGGCCCCCAAAGGGGCCCCAGAAGGGGCCCCCAGAAGGGGCCCCCAGGAGAGGCCCTTTGATGTGGGGGCTGCCCCTCATAAGGGATTCCTTCTGGGGCCCCTATAGGGGGCCCTATAGGGGGCCCTCTAGGGGGCCATATGGGGGGCCCCTTTAGGGGGCCCCTATGGGGGCCCAATGGGGGGGCCCTCTGGGGGGCCCCTATAAGGGTATTGAAGGGGGGTGTTGGGGGTTGTGTTAGGGGGTGTAGAGAGATGAAGGACGAATTATTTTGTCTCCTTTGCATCGAAGGAGACAGCAGCAAAGGGCATTATTATAAAAGGAGACAGTTAAAAGGAGACAGTTAAAAGGAGACAGTAGAGATAGGGACAGTAGGTAAGGGGTATAAGAAGGGGACCTGCTGCACTCATGCTGGTGATGCTGCTGCTGCTGATCTTCCTGCTCTTGCGGCTGCAGACTGTTCTGCTTGTCCTGCTGCCCCTCGTTGCTCTGCTGCTGCTGCTTTGAGTTGCTGGTGCTGCTGCTCCTAGTTGTTGCTGCTGCTAGTTGTTGTTGCTGCTTCTTCAGGTTGTTGCTGCTACTGCTGCAGTTCTTCTTTAACTCCAAACCCCGATGGTGGTTTAGTGGGTTTCGGGTGTATAGGCACCTTTGGCAGCGGCTGCAGTGTACAGACACCTCAGCTGGCGTGGCTTCTTTAGGGCCCCCCCTTTGCATAGAAAAAAACAAAAACATTATTTGTTTTTCTGCTTACTTCCTTTACTTAGACCTAATTAAATGCCTAACAAAGGCCTGCTGCTGCTGCTGCTGCTGCTGCTGTTGCTTGTGCTGTTGCTGCAGTTCTGGGGATGAGGTCACCGTCGGGCAACAGCAGCTGCACGGGAGCAGCAGCAGCAGCAGCAGCAACAGCAGCAGCAGCAGCAGCAGCAGCAGCAAGCTGCGTCGGCGCTATACTCGCCTTATCTTCTCGCTACCTTTACTTGTATTTTATGTTTAATTTAAAGTAAATAAATATTTTATAAATTTTATAGCATTTAATTAAAAGAAAAACAAAAAATAAAAGACAGACAGCGAAAGCCGACGCACCGCCGACTGCAGGCCGGAGCAACACAACGCTTGCTGCTGCTGCTGCTGCTGTTGCTGCTGCTGCTGCTGCTGCTGCTGTTGCTGCTGGTGTTGTTCCCTGTAACACCTCTTGCTTATAATTATGCGTTCTTTCTGTTTTTTCCTTCTGGGCTCGGCACATCAAAGGCCTCCACTGCAGCAACAGCAGCAGCAGCAGCAGCAGCAGCAGCAGCGGCAGCAGCAGCAAGGCTCCAGCATCGATTGAGCTGTCTCTTCTCCCTTCCTTCGCCTTCATTGCTGAGACCTTGTGCCTTCCCGCCTTTTTCTATCACCTTCACCCGGCTTTAGGGTTTAGGGTCTAGGGTTTAGGGTTTAGGGTTTAGGGTTTAGGGTTTAGGGCTATGGCGCGCCGCAGGGAGCCGAGTGAAAGGAGGACAGAAAAAGACAAACAAATGACAATCGATATCGATGGGACCCTCATCTTGCCTCCAGAGGTGGTGATGCAGCTGCAGCAGCAAGTGCTGCAGCAGCAGGGGCAGCAGCAGCAGCTGCAGCAGCAGCAGCTGCAGCAACCGCAGCAGCCGATGGTCTACGCACCAATGGTCCCCTGTCTCACAGCACAGCAGCCGTTCCCATACATTCTGCTGCAGCAACCGGCGGAAGCTGCAGCAGCAGCAGCTGCTGCTGCTGCTGCTGCTGGGGCCCCACACCCTGTGTACCAGGTGTACGGGCAGCCAGTAGCAGCAGCAGCAAACACCCAAGGCGCATGCACTGATATGCAACAGCAGCCAGCAGCAGCAGCTTCTCCCCAGCAGCAGCAGCAGAAGCAGTACACCGTGCAGCAGCAGCAGCAGCAGCAAGGGCAGCCGCTGGTGCAGCAGTACGTCCTACAGCAACCGCAGCAACCTCTGCTGCTGCAGCAGCCCGTATTGCTGCCGCAACAGGCAGCAGCACTTCAGCAGCAGGGTTTTGGGCTCGGGCCTGTCTATGCCTTACCGCAGCAGCAGCACTTGCTGCTGCCTGCACAACCAGCAGCAGCCGCAACAGCAGCAGCAGAAATAGATATTCAGGGGGGGCCCTCTCAAGTAGCAGCAGCAGCACCGGCTGTTTTTTCGTATGGAGCTGCAGCAGTGCAGCAGCAGCCAGCATACATGGTGCAGCAGCAGCCGATGTTGCTGCAGGCTCCAGCAGCAGCAGCATACCCAGGAGCTGCTGTTGCAGTGCAGCAGCCAGCAATGATACTTACAGGGGGCGGAGGAGCAGTTGTGCTGCAGCTGCAGCAGCCTCCTCTCTTCCGCCGCTCCGCACAGCAGCATCAGCAGCAGCAGCAGCAGCAGCACCAGCCCAGTCGTTTCTGCGGCATGTGGATGTAGACTTTTTTTTTATCGCAGCAGCAGCAACAACAGCAGCAACAGCAGCAGCGACAGCTGCTGCTGCTGCTTCTACTACTGCTGCTATGCACTACTTAGCATTTGCCGACCGTGGGTTCCCATTGGTGCTGCTCCTGCAGCAGCAGCAGGAGCTGCAGCAGTAGCAGTAGCTGCAGCAGCAGTAGCTGCAGCAGCAGCAACTCCAGCAGCAGCAGCAGCAGCAGCAACTCCAGCAGCAGCAGTAGCAGCAGGTGTTGCTGCAGCAGTTGTAGCAATGCAAGCAGCAGGTGCTGCACTTGAGGTTATCCTCCGTGTGGGGAGGGTAATGCCTCTATAATAATAATAAATAAGCAGAAAATATTTAAAAACAAATTATATTAAAAAACAAACGATGGATGCAGCTGCTGCCTGCATGCATACAGTAGCTCTCTTTTCAGGTGTATGTACACCTCATACAAATTTATACAGGCCTCCACGAGGCAAAGCAGCAACTAAAGCATTTTTTATATTGTCTACATGAGCAACACTTTACTTGCAGCCTTTGCAGCAGCTTCTGCTGCTGCTGCAGTAACTGCTGCAGGAACAACTGCAGCAGCACTGCAGCACGGGGAGAGACAATGCTAGGGACTGTAGCAGCAACCGAAGGCCCCAGAAAGAAACATCACTGTTGTCGCTGCTGCTGCTGCTGCTGTTTCTGCTGCTGCGTCTTCGGAGACTGGTAGCAGTTCTACTGCTGCTGCAGCAGTAGCCAGAGCAGCAGCAGCAGCAGCAGCAGAGGCAGCGGCAGCGGCCGCGCTGCAGTCTCCAGAGGCTCGGCAGCTGCCTATACACCTCAATAAAGGAGTCAAAAAAGAGACATAGACCTACAGGTAGAGACCCTGCTGCTGTATATAACCAACAACTGCAGCAGGCGTCAGAGACAGACAAGCAGCGAGCTGCAGCACAGAAGCAGCAGCAACAGCAGCAACAGCAACAGCAGCAGCAGCAACACACGAGACATCAGGCAGCAGCAAGCCAAACCCACGAAGGCTTCAGGGTTTTGCTTTACCAGTTTATTCTAAGGTTTAGGGTTTAGCTGAGGGTTTAGGGTCTACCTGAGGGTTTAGGGTCTACCTGAGGGTTTAGGGTTTAGACTAGGTTTTAGTGTTTAAGGTTTAGGGTTTGGGGTTTAGGGTTTAAGGTTTAGGCAAGGGTTTGTTGTTTAGAGAAAGCCTTAGCGTTTAGCTTAGGGTTTAGGGTTTAGCTTAGGGTTTAGGGTTTAGCTTAGGGTTTAGGGTTTAGCTTAGGGTTTAGATTTTAGGGTCTAAACTAGGGTTTAGGGTTTAGGCTAGGGTTTAGGGTTTAGGGTTTAGGGTTACATGTTGGTCTCCCTGGTGTCTCCTTTTGAGTTTCTGTCTCAACAGCGAGGAAGAGACAGTCGGCAGCAAGGAGACACGAGAGTCTCCTTGCAGCAAATCGTTTATATATACGTAGCGGTGCATGCGCTGCAGCTGCCTGTACACCTCACAGCTGCTGCTGCGGCTCCTCTCATTGCTGCTGCTGCTGGTGCTGTTGCTGGTGCTGCTGTTGCTGCTGCTGCTGGTGCCGATGCGAGGAAGCACCGCCCCTGCTGCTGTTGCTGCTGCTGTTGCTGCTGCTGCTGTTGCTGCTGCTGCTGCTGCTGCAGTTGGTGACTCATGGGTAGCAGCATCCGGGGGCCCCTGTAGGGGCCCCTCTTCTCTATCAATAATTAAAAACCGCGTTGTCTGCAGCAGCCGCTCCCCTTCGTACCTGCAGCAGCAGCAGCAACAGCAGCAGCAGCAGTAGCAGCAGCCATAGCAGCAGCAGCATGGACAGCAACAGGAACAGCAACAGCAGCAGCAAAGAGGGAGGGCTGAGTTGCTGCAACGGTGGGGAAGGAAACGCCAGGCTGCAGCAGCAGCTGCAGCAGCAGCAGCAGCAGCAGCAGCAGCAGAAGCAACAAGAGCTACCACTTATGTAACGTGGGTATACAGTCGGCACCAATAAGAAGCCAAAGCTCCGGCAGCTGTTGCTGCTGCTGCTGCTGTTGCTGCTGCTGCTGCTCTACTAGACGCTTTTGCAGCAGATCTAAGAGTTTAATGGTGGGGATAAAACAGCCGGCCTGCGCCTCTATGTCAAGCACCTGCAGCAGCAGCAGCAACAGCAGCAGCAGCAGCAGCAACAGCAGCAGCCTCATGCACGCAGCAGCAAAGAAGAAGGCAGCAGCAACAGCAGCAGGAGACGCGCCAGGCGCAGAAAGAAGACGAGCAGCAGCAAAGTCATAACCATCCTCATCAGCAGCAGCAACAGCAGCAACAGCAACGGTAGCAGCAGGAGCAACAACAACAACAACAGCAGCAACAACGGCAGCAGCAGCAGTAGCAACAGCAGCAACAGCAACAGCAGCAACAGTACCAGCAGCAGCAACAACAGCAGCAACAGCAACGGTAAGAGCAGCAAAAACAGCAGCAGCAGCAGCAGCAGCAGCAGCAAGTGCTACCTCTACAGCATTGCCTGCTAAGGGCCCAAAGAAGGCTTCAACAGCCAACTGCGTCATGCGGAGACGGTCTGAGGTTGCAGCTTGCAGCTGCTTGTCCCCTCGAACGCGAAAACCTTGCTGCTGCTGCTGCTGATGCTCATACTGCTGCTGCTGCTGCTGCTGCTGCTGCTGCTGCTGCTGCTGCTGCGGCTGTTGCTGCTGTGGCTTGGGGTGCTGCTCCTGCTCCTGCAAGACTCGCTTCTCTTGGCCTTCCTGCTGCTGCTGTTGCTGCTGCTGCTGCTGCTGCTGCTGCTGATTATCCGCAGGTGAGCCCCCACAAGGGACTAGCCAAACTTTTGCTGCTGCTCTGCTGCTTAGGACTGCAGCAGCTGCTTGGAGATGTGCATAGTGAGGAGGGTCAAAGCTGCCCCCAAACACGCAAATCCTGCAGCAGCAGCAGCAACAGCAGCAGCAGCAGCATAAGTGCAACGTAATGTGGGGTAACACCACCCGCAGGTGGACAGGCAGCAGCAACAGCAACAGCAACAGCAGCAGCAGCAGCAGCTGATGCCGCTGCAGCATAATGATTGTGCTTAGCGCCGTGCTACAGCAGCAATCGTCATAACAGCAGCAGCAGCAACAACAACAACGACAGCAACAGTAGCAACAGCAGCAGCAGCATCAACAGCAGCAGCATCAACAGCAACAGCATCAACAGCAGCAACAGCAACAGCAGCAGCAGGTGCACCGGTTAGCAGCATCATCAATGTCTTCGCGGCGAACATTCTTCATCCGAAGAGACATCTTTGCTGCTGCTGCTCCTGCTGCTGATATTGTTTTTGCTGCCGTTGCTGCTGCTGCTGCTATTCTCGCTGCTGTTGCTACTGCTGTTGCTATTGTTAGCGCTGCTGTTGCTGCTGTTGTTGCTGCTGCAGCGGATATAAGAGATTTCAGTCTGCTCCCTCGTAAAGGAGAAGGCAGCAAATTGCTGCTGCGGCTGCTGTTGCTGCTGCAGCTATTGTTGCTGCAGCTGTTGTTGCTGCAGTTCTTGCTGCTGCTGCTGCGCGTTACTCAGGTTGCTGCCGCAATGGCTGCAGCAAATGCTGCAGCTGTTCGTGTGGCTGCTGCTGCAGTCGCTGCTGCTACTGCTATGCAACAGCTAGACCGAAAGAGAGGTGATCTGCAGCAGCAGCAACAGCAGCATCAGCAGCAGCAGCAGCAGATCTAAGGACGAAGGATGCAGCTCTAATACTTGGCAGTATATTACAGCATCAAAAGATATTTCTTTTATTAGAATTATAATGCTGCATCAAACAACCTTTTTCTTAGGACCCTCAGACACCCAGGGGGGCCCCCAGGGGCCCCGGGGGCCCCCCGGGGGCCCCCCTGGGGGCCCCTTAGGTTTTGTCTACTAGCTGCAATTTTTGAGTTTTGTTTGCTGATGTTTGTGCTGTTTACGTGTTGTTAGTGGTGGTTTTTAATTGGTATATAGTGTAGAGGGTTTAGGGTTTAGGGTTTAGGGTTTAGGGTTTAGGGTTTACCGGTGCTGCTCTCTTAAGGGTAATTCTGTAGACTTGCTGTTGCTGCTGCTGCTGCTGCTGCTGCTGTTTGTGGGGTGTGGGGTTAGGGGTAGAGTGCTGAGGCAATAATTCATAGGGGCCATCCCCGATAGCAGGACTCGGTTGCAACAGTAGCAGCAGTAACAGCAGCAGCAGCTGCAGCAGCAACAGCAGCAGCAACAGCAGCGAACAAACCAGGGCAACTGTATCACAGCAGCAGCAGCAACTGCAGCACCAGAAGAAGCTCCCTTCTCCTCTCCGTCATCGATTTGCTTCGCAAACAAGACCAGTAGCAGCAGCAACACCAGCAGCAGCGGCAGCAGCAGCAGCAGCAGCAGCAGCAAAAGCAGCAGCAGCAGCAGCAGCAGGCATGCATGCTTGATTAGGAGGATGAGCCCCCTCAGTGCGGAGGTGTTGTGCTCGTTGGTGGAGACAGCAATGCACAACCTCCTCTGCGCCCGCAAAGTCTACCCACCCGGTTTGCTGCTGCTGCTGCTGCTGCTGCTGCTGCTACTGTTTCTGCCGCCGTTCCTGCTGCTGCTGTCTCTCCTGTTGCTGCTGCTGTTTCTGCTGCTGCTGTTGCTGTTGCTGCTGTGGCGGGTGCTGGTTTTGCTGTTGCTGCTGCTGTTGCCGCTGCTGCTGTTTCTGCTGCTGCTGTTGCCGCTGCTACTGTTTCTGCTGCTGCTGTTGCTGCTGCTGGTACTGTTGACGCTGCATCTGCTGCGGTTGTGTTGCTTTTGTTATTGTATCTCCCTGTTCTCTAACGATCCCGTCGCTGCTGCTGCTGCTGCTGCTGCTCAGAGTCTTTCTCTCGCGCTCGCCGCTTCGGGCAGTGGGTTTGGCTCTCCACCTCCAAAGCCCTCACCTCTTACCTCAAAGAGGTAAACCCTAAACCCTAAACCCTAAACCCTAAACCCTTATTCTCGTCTCCAACAACAACAGCTCTATAGGGTTATTTGCCTTGATAAATTACAAGTATATTTTTATTTGTTATTGTTTGTTTGTATTTATTTATTTATATTTATTTATTTATATTTATTTATATTTATTTATTTATTTATATTTATTTGTTTAGGTTTGCGGCTGTCTATGCGAGGGGGTAAGGCTTGGATTTGTTGCTGCTGTTTGTCTGCGGCTGCACAACAAAGAAGGGCTTGCTGCTGAGGTATACACCTTTAAATTTGCAGCAGCAACAGCAGCACACGTTAAGCCTGCAGCAGCAGCAGCAGCTGCTGCTGCTGCTGCTGACGATGCAGCAGAAAGCATCCAAAACTTCCTCGCTAGAACGGAGCTCATCAGCTGCTGGCTGCCGCAGCAGCAGCGGCAGCAGCAGCAGCAACAGCAGCAACAGCAGCAGCAGCTGGTTTCCTTCTCTGTCTGTGCACACGTTGTAGAAGAGCTGGCGGGTTTAGCGCGTGAAGCATCTGCAGCAGCAACAGCAGCAGCAGCAGCAGCAGCAGCAAGTGCTGCTGAGGAGCAGCTAACAGCAGAAGTCCGCAATGCGTTGATGCGGTTCGTCTGTCAGTGGAGACAGCCATACACTCAAAGAAGAGACTGCTGCGGTCAGACCTGCTGCTGCTGCTGCTGCTGCTGCTGCTGCTTGTATTGCTGTTGCTGCTGCTGCTGTTGCTGCTGCTGCTGTTGCTGCTGCTGCTGTTGCTGCTGCTGCTTGTATTGCTGTTGCTGCTGCTGCTGCATATATTGGTACTGCAGCGGCTGTTTGTGTGTGCTGCTGTTGCCGTTGTTGCCTGCGGTGTTGCTGCTGCTGCTGTTGGTGTTGCTGCTGCTGCTGGCGCTGTCTCTGTTGCAGGTTCGTGCTGCCTGCGCTGCTGCTGCTGCAGCTATGCTGCTGCTGCTGCTGCTGCTGTAGTTGCTGTTGCTGCAGCAGGCCTTGATTGCTGTTGCTTGTTGTTGGAGTGGTCTTCCTACTGCTGTTATTGTTGCTGCTGCTGCTGCTGTTGTTGTTGCTGCTGCTGCAGAAGGAGACAGCTGCGGAGTAGAAGGAGACGGTTTGCTGTCTGTCCCCTGTACAGCAGTTAGAGCGGGGGCCTCCCCCCTCTTGACCCTGTCAGTCACTCTCACACAGCAGCAGCAGCAGCAGCAGCAGCAGCAAGAAGAGTCGCAGCAGTGGCACGCACAGCAGCAGCAGTCCCAACTGCCTTTTTCGCAGTGTCCTTCTCAGCAGCAGCAGCTGCAGCAGCAGCAGCAGCTGCAGCAGCAGCACTGGCCTTCTCAGCAGCAGCAGCAGCAGCAGCAGCAAGAGTTGCAGCAGCAGCAGCAGGAGCTGCAGCAGCAACAGCAAGAGCTGCAGCAGCAGCAGCAGGAGCTGCAGCAGCAGCAGGAGCTGCAGCAGCAGCAGGGATCAGCAGACCTAACTGAAGACGACTTGGCTGACCTTGATTTTTAGTAGCTGTAAAGGAGACAGTTTGGGGTGTACAGGCAGCTAGCAATTGAAGCAGCAGCTTTTAAAAGGAGACACTTTGGAGTGTACAGGCAGCTAAACATCTGCGGTGTGTATATACACCCCAATGCTGCTGCAGACTCTGCACTCTTCTTCTTCCAGCTAGCTGACAACCGAGCGAGTTAATCATCTACCTAGTCCGCTACCTAACCCCTAACCTAGCTAGCTAGCTAGCTAGCTAAAGCTAGCTGACTCAGCACCTGAGCCCCTACCAGCTAGCTGAGGGGTTGCCTGGTGTGTGTAGGCAGTGGCAGCGACTGGCTAGCAAGCTGCCCCAGGGCGGACCAGCTAGCTAGCTAGCTAGCTAGCTAGCTAGATTAGTGATTAGCTAGCTAGCTACAGTAGCCAGAGCCAGAGGACAAGCTGAACGAGAGACCGTCCCTATTCAAAAGAAACGCCTGCTATCAACAGACACTGCAGCAGCAAAAACACTGCAGCAGCAGCTGCAGCAGCAGCTGCTGCTGCTGCTGCGCTTGCTGTCGTGTTCTCAGGCGAGGGGTTGGCTGCTCCCCTTGGGGATCTGCAGCCTTTGAATGCAAAGGCAGCAGCAGCAGCAACAGCAACAGCTACTGCAGCAGCAGCAGCAGCAGCAGCAGCAGCTGCTGCTGCTGCTGAACTGTTGTGGGGTCACTTGCGTTTTTCTGGCTGACGAACGAAGGCCCAATTTACTGCTACCCGCTGCCCCAGCAACTCCTGCCCATCCATACCTGCAGCAGCAGCAGCAGCAGCAGCAGCAGCAGCAGCAGCAGCAGGAGTGAGAGCAATGCATATGCAGTTAAAGCTGCTGCTTGGGGTGGTGCTGCTGCAGCACGAGCAGCAGACAACGCTGCTGTCTCGACGCAGAGATGCTGCTGCTACTGGTGCTGAAGGCACTCCACCAGCAGCAGCAGCAGCAAGAGCAGCAGAAGAACAACCAATAGCAGCAGCAGCAGCAGCCCGAACAGCAGCACCAACAGCAGCACAGGCAGCAGCAGCAGCAACACCAACAAGAACAGTAGTACCAGCAGCAGCCCAAACAGCAGCACCAACAGCAACGCAAGCAGCAGCAGCATCAACGCAAGCAGCAGCAGCAGCAGCAGCAGCAGCAGCAGTACCATCAATAGCAGCTTGTGCTTCATCGTAAGTCTCATACTCGACGAAGGCGTAGCCCTTCACAAACCCCGAACGCCTGTCTAAATTCATATGCAGATTTCTTATAGCCCCTGGAAGCAGCAGCAGCAGCAGCAGCAGCAGCAGCAGCAGCAGTAGCAGCAGCAGTAGCACCAGTAGCAGCAGCACAAGGAGAGGCAGCAGTAGCACCAACAACATAAAATGCAGCAGAGAAAATAGCAGCAAATAAGTAGCAGCAGCAGCAACAACAACAACAAAGGCGGCACGCTGCGTGAGCAATCCAGTAAGGGTTTAGGGTTTAGGGTTTAGGGTTTAGGGTTTAGGGTTTACCAAAGGCATCGAAGGCTTCGTGAATGTCTTCTTCTTGCGCTTCCTCATGAATGTTTGTCGCCACAACAATCCACCCCTCAACAGCTGCAGCAGCAGCAGCAGCAGAAGTAGCAGCAGTAGTAGTAGCAGCAGCAGCAGAAGGGGAGCAGCCACAGCACCGCATCAGCAGCAGCAACAGCAGCAGCAACCACTATAGCAGCAACAACTCATTTATCCTCTCCTACACCCGCCACAGCAACCCGCCCCATCCCCTACAGCAGCAGCAGCAACAGCAGCAGCAGCAGCAGCAGCAACAGCAGCAGCAGCAGCAGCAGCAGCAGAGGTGTACGTACACCTGGCTGGTGCGGGCCCCTTTCCCCTGCCTCTGCGTTTGCTCTCTGCTGTCTCCTCCAGTCTTTCAAAGACGCCGCTCTCCCCCGCATATCGACCCTCCCGCCCTCCTCCGCTCTCACGCATGCCCCGCCCCTGCAGCAGCAGCAGCAGCAGCAGCAGCAGCAGCAGCAGCAACAGCAGCAAGAGTGGCAGCAGCGGGGGCGTAAGCGGTAAAGGTAGGTGGTGCAGTAAGCACAATGGTCGTAGCAGAAACAGCAGCAATAGCAACAACAGCAGCAGCAGCAGAGGGAGGGGGAACAGCAGCAGCAACAGCAGCAGCAAAAGGAAGAGAGACAACAGGATATGCAGCACCGCTGCATTCAGAATCGAAGTAATCTAAGGACAGAAAACAAACTTTAAGCCAAACCCTAAACCCTAAACCCTAAACCCTAAACCCTCGAGGGTTTGATAAACTGCGCACCTTCTGGCGCATCCCTCTTGAAAGAGAGACAGAGCGGCGGTCTTCGGCGTCTGTCATCTCCGCTGCTGCTGCTGCTGCTGCTGTTGTAGCTTCTGCTGCTGCTGCTGCTGCTGCTGCTCCTGTTGCCGATGCAGCCTGTATTTGCCTTGCTGCTGGCGGCTGCTGCTGCTGTTTTAAAGTGCTGCTGCTGCTGCTGCTAATATATAAACCCCTTTCTTCTCCACAAGAGAAAAAGAAGCAGCAGCAGAGAGGGCGGTTGCAGCAGGAGAGTAAAGAGGCAGAGCGAGTTGCTGCTGCTGTTCTCCTTTGAAGAATAATAAATAATAATTATTATTATTTTAATAAATACTTTTCTTAATAGACAGAAAAAAACAGAAAATGTTTTAAGCGATTAAATAACGCCCCTGTCTGCATGCAGCCCCAGACGCCAAACCTAGCGAATGCCCTCTGTGGGAGTACAAGGGATATTAACGGTTAATTGGTCTATTTGCTCCGGATTTGGCTTCAACTTCATCATTTAAATCAATTATTTACCTAAATATACTTTTGAAAAGCAAAAAAACAAGAAAAATGCCTCAGCATCGAGCCCCGTTGTGGGAGGAGCTGCCTATACACCTCAGGGGGGGGAAGCAGCAACAACGCAAACGGTAGATAAAAAGACAAAAAAATAATTGCAAATAAATCCTTTTAAATAAATAAAATAATCAATTAATGCAAAACATGCAGAAAAAACAAAATATTAATATATACGCCCTATCTTTGTGCAGTAGAAACTTAATAAAGCTGAAAAAATAATAAAAGAAGAGTATTTCTGTTTTTAAATAAAATCTTTTATACATCAGATAGATAAGATAGCCGATAGAGCCATCTGCTGCTGCTGCTGCTGCTGCTGCTGCTCTTGCTGCTGCTGCTGCTGCTGCTGTTTTCTAACTTTGTTATATTTGATGGTTGTTTTGTTTATTTATTTTTTTGCTGCATCTCTTTGTTTTGTTTGCTTAAATATCTCTTTCGCTTTCTTTGTTTTGTTTTGTTTGTGGTTGGCGGAGGTATATGCATGGATATAAGATATAACATAAAACATAAACCTGGATCTACATGTGCATATATATATATATATATATATATATATATATGCATATATATATGTTTTTAAACTTTAATGGTT